CAGGGCTGATACTACCTTTCCTAGCACATTCACCATACTCTATTTCACACGCTACATAGCATAACTACAATATAAGCTAAAGTTAAAGGAGCTAAATAAACTTACAGGATCAGCAAACACACTCACCTTGCCGCATGGCCTCAAACAAAATGGATTCAAATAGGCCACTCCCACACTTAAATAACCTTCCTCTTCCTGGACTTCCTCCTTACTTACACATGGCTTTCTCAGCCCAAACAGCACTGCCATCTTCAACCAAACCCAGGCTCCGTACATGCGATTTTGTTTTGTTGAACTATTAATATTGTACACAGAATCTGAATCTCATTCTGAGTAACTGCTGTTGTTTATAAACCAAAGAAATGAGAGCGCTAAGGTTTGTATAATTTTGACTGAATATATGAAGGCAAACGGTAAGGTTTACATGTTAAAGTATATTACTTATTTTGTTGCAATTCTATTTTCTTAGATAAATAATAAAATATTATTTTTACTATTTTGTCATATCGTTAAGAATATAGTTATCGCAAATATACTTTGAAATATTGTGGTATTATTTTAGGGCCATATCGCCTACCCCCAGTACACGCACACATACTTCATACACCACAACAAGACATCAACTAACAGATTCATACACACCTGCATCACATGATCATAGGTCTGGACAATATGGCCTATAAATAGTATCACGATATTTCTAGGCTCTAACGGCTCTCTTATTCATATATTCAGAATATTTGCAAGTTGCACTGGTGCTCCATGGTTGCAAAGTGCAAATAAATAGCCGCGCTCTGGAGCCCTGCAGATACATAGACACATGCAGTGCCTAATCACACACTATCGCCCAGAAGAGAGTGATCTGGGCGCGGGAGTGTGTGTGACATGAGTCTTTTTTTTCTTTTTGTGTCTGTGAGAGGAAGAAAGCAATAGAAAAAGTGAGACAACCGCTATGCCAAAGCAAGTCTCATGCTGAGGCTTAAAGTAAATGGCATGACAGTTTATACTTATTGTTCACGATGTAGTCATTTTATACATGTCATAAGGAACAGACTGCGATACACTGAGAATAATCCATGTATCACCCAGCCCTGCATGGTCATATATGCATAAACACAAATACAAATATTTAGTTTGCAGGAACAGACACAAAGTAAACATACACACAGCAGCACAACCTTGTGTAGCAGGAACACAATGGAAGACATATGAGCACATTTTTTTAGAAGCACATGCAGGTACAGTTCATTACGGGGTCATCACGACACATCACATCGCATCTACACCTCACAAGTTAACTTACACTCATAAATCCAAACACAAACACACACCATGACCTCCCCTTGCAGGTATTTACACCAGTACACACCATCAAAAACACATCAACAAACACCAACGTGATTTTACTTCACAGGTGCCCTCGCACACACACACACACACACACACACACTGTCTCTCTCATTCACTCCTCACTGCCACAACAGAGCTATAGAGTTGACCACCGTTGTCAGATGAGTTTCGATCCACCGTGTAATGACTTTCTCTCTTGCTTGCTGTCTCTCTCCGTCTACCACTGTCTCTCTCCTTCTTCCCCAAATTAATTCACTCTTTATTTAACTCCATCTCTGTCATTCCTCTCCTTCCTTTTTTTCACTTTCCACCATCTTTCCTCTTTTCTATCCTCGCTCATCATCTTTATCTTTTCCTGGATATCTTGCTTTCCCTCATTCCAACTTAATTCCTTCATCTGTCCTCCCAACTTCCCTCCATTGTTCTCTATCTCTCATCAACCTTATCTTCTCTCCTCCCTCATCCCCCATTTCCTCAATTCTTCTCCCCCATTCCCCATTTTTGTTTTCATTTCTGCACACTTGCTTCCTCTTTCCTGTGCCTCCATCGTCTTATCTCCATTTTATTTTCTACCTTCCTTTGATTCCTTTCTTCCCTCTCCGTCTCCAGATCTTCTCTCTGGGCTACTGTCCGACAGGCGAGTGGCTGGCTGTGGGAATGGAGAGCAGTAACGTGGAAGTTCTGCACGTCTCCAAACCTGACAAGTACCAGCTGCACCTCCATGAGAGCTGCGTTCTCTCCCTAAAGTTCGCGTACTGCGGTATGTACACAAACACACACACAAATTCTTATCCTTCTATCTTTGTGAGGACCCTCATTGACATAGCAAATTCCCTTGTCCCTTAGCTTAACGCTAATGATCACAACAAAATGCCTTACCCTACCCTTACCTTACCCCCAACCTAAACCTAATTGACCTTTAGCTAAGTCCCGCCCCTTTGTAATGGTCTGTAAGCTGTCGGAGTAAGCATGGAGCCCACACTGTAACTAACTGCACTCCCTGAAGAAATATTATCATATTTTTGGAAAAATGAAACAGTGATTCCAGAGAGATGCAGACAGAGGGGTCTACAGTCTGTGTTTGGAGGATATATCCAGGATGTCAAATTGACTCAGCAGCAACAACAGGTTAAAAAGACAAAGATAGTCAGAAGCTAAAGCCGAACTATAGGCTACAGATCACAGTGTAAAAGTGAACCACCACATCACTGCTGATCGCCACACAAGACGATGAGTATAAAGGGAAACTTTGCTGATACTGAACCAGCTGTGTGACATCACAGTGTGTGCAGATGAACGGTGTTTAGCTTCGCCCTTGTGCCGCTGCCAGCACCCAGACCTCTGCCGCAGGTCGAGCAGGGATCTCAGGCCAAACATCATTCATCTGTGCGCAATGCGATGACACACAGCTGGTTGAATATCAGCAAAGTTTCTGTGCTTCCCTTCACTGGTTCCTGTACAGCAGGGTCGGTCTTTGTTTCACTGTTATAATCATTATAAAGCAAAAGCAGCATGCGTATACATTCAGTAGGCTATATCTTCAGTAGCTAGCTAGCTAACCCTACACTTTTCAGGGTTTGATTTTGGTTTTGGAACAGGGAAGAAATGTATATCTTTTTCCAACCTCTCCAGGTAACAAGTATCATAAATACACGATGTGCCCCAGGCACAACATTTAGCTCCAAATCCACAAAACCAGCCTGAAAATGAAGGAAATCTGAAACGATTGCATTAGAGTCAGTGTTGTCGGACCTTGGTCTGAGCCAGCCCGATGCTACTTTATGATTGGCCAGTCTGCATCCTGGGGCGGGACCTAGCGAAGGGTCAATTTTAATCTGAATTAAACGTGTGTTCCCCTTAAACCTTTGAAGAGTTAAAGACTGGCCGAAATGTCCTCAGTTTCCGAAAGTGTCCTCACTCCACACAAAACATGTTTGGGTCCTCACTATGTTGAAAGTACGAGTACATACATACATACACACACACACACACACACACACATATAAAAACTTGGATTGTTTCCTGAATGTTTCTGGAATATTTGCTGCCACTGACAAACACTCTCTGCTCTCTGTTATTTACAGTATACTGTGCTTTTATCACCCCTTGTCTTTTGTTTAACCTGTCGTACCGTATGTGTGTATGTGCTATTTCAGGAAAGTGGTTTGTGAGCACAGGAAAAGACAATCTGTTGAATGCATGGAGGACACCATATGGAGCCAGTATTTTCCAGGTGAGAGACGGGTGCAATGCTCTGAGGATGTTTGTGCTCTGTGTATATACGTATTTATATATATAAATATATACGTGTGTATCTGGGGCTGCAGAGTCATCTGTTAGTCAGTGTGGATAGTGTTGTTTAAGCTATCGCTGCTTCCTTTCCATGTATCTTACACATGCGCGCGCGCGCACACACACACACACACACACAAACACACAGAGCCCTAGAGGCAAAAGAGAGAAAAAGATGAGGAGGTTCAGAGGGAGAAAGCGAACGATAAACATTTTTTAAAATTCCAGGTTTGTTGATCCATGGTGACTTGCGGAGGTTTATCAGAGAGTGCAGGCTGCCAAATACACACACACACACACACACACACACACAGAACAAATGTAATAACTCCATCATGTTCAATCGCTCCATTTGAGGAAATGTTAAAACATGAATATGCAGGGAGGCAATATTTTTAGCTGAGCCAGTTCATCTGGGTGTGAATGAAACTAGCAAGGGGAGATGAAAGTACATTTAAGACGTGCGTTTTCTGTGTGTGTGTGTGTGTGTGTGTGTGTGTGTGTGTGTGTGTGGCTGTGGCTGTGACTGTCATATTTCTGTAAGCTACAGTGGGCAGCAGGGTTGGCGGCTCCTGTCTCTCCCTGTGGACTGAAAGGAGAATTCTGGCTATCTGCTTTGTTATCCAAATGCCAAGCGTTTCTCCTGCCAAACAGCTCCCTCCTGTCACCGTGTTATACAGAGCTCCTCTCTCCCTCTGTCCTCTTCCTCCTCTCTGGTTTATCACTGTCCTTTCCAGTTTCTGTCTCTTGCTTTTATTTAACCCCCCTGCTCTTCTCATTTTTCCTCACTCCTCCTCCCCTTGTCTCTCTGTTTGTTGTTGTCCTTTCTGCCTCTCTGTGCTCACTCATTTTTATCTTTCTCCTCTAATCTGTACCTCTACCCTCACTTTTTTCCTCTGTCCTTGTTTTTCGGCTTATCCCTGTCCTCTCTATCTTGCCTTCAATTTTTTAATCCTTTTTTCTGACAGTAACCCATCACCTCTTCTTTCCTCTCTTGTTTGCATTCTCTCTGACCCTTGGGCTTGCATGTCGCACTCATTCTCTGCCTCTCTCTGCTTCATTGTCAGTTTATCAAATGTGCATCATTGGCATAGATCTTACATATCACTGACATCACTGACGTTGCCTGTGGTGTTTACAATGCCAAACTTTATCAAGACAGGCGTTCAGTGTCTGATATTAACTACTAAGAACTCATAAACATCGTAATGTTAGAGGTAAAGGGGGATTTATACGTGTGCAGCAGAAACTACGCCATGGCTTACGCTGTTGTGAGCATTTATACTTGTGCGTTGGTGTGTCTGCGTCACTCTGCAGTTACACCTCGTTGATTCAAAACACACATTAAACATGGCTTAACAAAGAGATTTTAAAACACAACCACCCAAATACGCTTTGCTGTAACTCGCAGTATTCACAGACAAAGCATTTGTCTTTATCTGGACACATTTTCCCCACAAATACAACATGCTAATGTTTTTAGCACAAGCCTATGGCATTTTACATTGTATAAATTAGCCTAGCCGCTAGCAGACTTTTGCTCCTCTCATATGACGCCATGGACAGCAACATTTAACAAAGGTAACGTTACAAAAGTCAGCTACATTACAACTGACAAGGTTTACCGACAAGCCACTGTCTTATACTGACAAGTTTTCCAAACAATGTAACATGCTAACATTATTGGCACAAGCCTATGGCATTTTACATTGTATAAATTAGCCTAGCGATGAGAGGAGATTTCCTCTGCTCATGTGAAGCCAGGATAAATCCCGAAGTATAAATCCTTGAAGGATAAATCACACATAGGACTTAAAATGCTATCTTGTGGAGGCTTTGTCGTCTTCACAATTTATTGTTTCTTATCTGTGATATTAAAGTAAATAAAAGCTTTGTTTCCACTGAGATAAATGGTTTCAGCTTACAAAAATAGACAGGAGGTCTGTGTCGCCACAATGTGTAGTTACATTTCTGGGGAAGTGCACATCAGGTCACGGCTTAGGGTACAGCGTAGGCTCTACGTCAACACAGAGCCTACACCATAGATGCAGCGTCGATTCCTGCGTAAGTCTGTCCAGTTTTCCTCTTTGTTCCTTTGTTGTTTTTTTTGTTTGTTTTATCTCTCTTTCCCACTCCATCTCTGACTCTTACCCTTTCCAAACTCATCTTTTGACTTGTCATTGCATTCTTCCCCCTTGAATGCCTCCCCCCAATTCCCCCCACCTGCTATGTTGGTATAGTAGGAAGGATCCTGTATGAAATGGCCTCTCACCGGTGGCTTGATGATTGACAGCCCTGCTGTGCTTGTAGCAGGTGGGGTAGGGGAGGAGGAGAGGGGAGACAAGTTTAGAGAGGAGGAGTCGACATGAGAGAGGGGGACAGAGCAAAAGGGGAGCATAAGAGGATGGAGAGGGAAGAGGAGGAGGAGGAGGAGGAAAGTCTAGGAAGAAAGGAAGGAAGATAAATGATGATGGAGCAGTGGGAGGAGGAGGAGGAGGAGGAGGCAGGGGACTAGAGGGAGCTTTAGATCATCTAAAGCCAGGTGCCCAGGTCTGGCTTTCAGACACAGGAGAGAAAAGAGGGGGGAAAAAAAAGAGGATTGTGCATTTTGCCAGTTCATACAGACCATCAGACTTGTGCTGCTAGTGATGCTTAAACCTGCAGTTAATGAGGCTGCATCTCTCCAGAGAAACAGAGAGAGGAAAAAAGAGGGAGAGGGAGAGACACACATAGAGGCAGACGAATGAGTCAGCATCCTGGAGCTGTGGAGTTGTCTGTTTGGAAATAATTGCCGACTGTTTTGAAATGCAAATATGTCTTGTATGATTGAGTATTAGCTGATGAGTCATATCTTTTCTAACATCTTTCTCTTTGTGTTTGTTTCTCTCCATCTGTCTCCATCCATCTATCATCACATCTCTCTTTCTCCTCTGTTTTTTTTTTTTTTTTTTTTTTTAATCTGTCTCTCACCCACTCCCAGTCCAAGGAGTCCTCGTCTGTGCTGAGCTGTGACGTTTCCCCGGACGACAAGTACATAGTGACGGGCTCCGGGGACAAGAAGGCCACGGTGTACGAGGTGGTGTACTGAGGGCCGGGACGAGATGGGAAGAGACAGGACGGAGATTTGGGGGCATTTTTTTTTTCTTTTCTTTTTTTTTTTTTTTTTTTTGTTTGGAGGATGGGGGGGTCAACCAGTTGCCCCGCAAACCGCTCCTGATCCTCATTACATCAGCAAGAGAAGCACCTCCGTCTCAGTCCTCTGAGTCCTCCTGACCCTCACCCCTAATACATCACCCCCTCTCTCCCTTTTTCCTGTGATATAAGCTACAGTGGAAGCTCCCAGATGTCTCCTCCCTCCCCCCTTCCACTTTTAGCCCAAGGATGAGGCATGATAGCAGAGAGAGAGGCAGAAAGGGAAGCAGCAAGATAAGAAGGACAAAGGAAAAGGGCGGTGGAGCATAAAGATAAAGTCGGGAGGGAAAGACAAGAAGGAGGAGAGAAGGCGAGAGTGCGGAAGGAAGAGAAATGAAAGGGAGGAAGAGGAGAAGGAGGAGGAGGAGGAGGAGGAGGAGGGAGGACGAGGGAGGCAGGGTAATTAGGGCTGTTTCCTGATTAAGAGCTCAGTGGAAGGGAGGCCCCCAGAGGAGGCGCGGAGCGGCACTGTGGGAGCGCCAGCCAGGAGCACTGATACCACACAATCGATTCATTAGCCAGACAGTGGAAGCCTTAATGAGGCTGACGCCGCAGCTCGCTCTCCCCAGCGAGAGGTGTCAGGAGCTGGGGAACGATGACGCTCTGAGATAGAGGGGGTCGCTTCAGATACCCACATACACTGACATGAAACATAGACCTGCTCACACACACACACACACACACATACACACACACACATGCAAGGCACACGTCATCGGACAAGAATACACACACTCTCGGATACACCCCCTTGAGGTAATGGTAGGAAAAGAGATACACACACACAACACACAGAGCACCCAATTAAACATTCATCGCAGCGCTCCCCGTCTCTCTGCTTAATATCTATTTTATTTTGGTCTGACAAAGGCAGCGTCTAATGAGCAGTGGAGTCAATGGGATTCTCCCAGGGCCCAGAGACACAAACACAGAACATCAGCCGAGCTGTTCCCTCTAATTCCTCTGGATTGTTCTCCTGACACCGAGCGCTGCACTCACTCTCATTAAAGGCACTGTCAGCTAGATGAAGTAGCAGCATGCCAACTTCACTGTAAGGCAGACAAGAGGGCAAATTAACACCACCCGATTACGGTATCATCAGCAGCCAACTAAGCAGCGACTAATCCGGATCCTTTTAAATTTTATGCAACTGGTTGCTGTTTTCATTTACAAACCAGAAGAGAATTACTGTTTATCAGAGTCATTATCTCCATCTCTGCCTGCCTGCTGATGTGCTAGTGTTCAAAGTACTCTGGCTAAATATTGTTCGGTAAGCTATTGATTGCTATTAATTGAGATGCTAAACACCTTGAAGGAAAAGTCTAATATTTTGGAAGATAAACTTATTCACTTTCCTGAAGAGAGTCAAATGAGAAGATTGATAACATTTTCATGTCTGTAGGCCAAAGCAGCCTGCTAACCTAGCTTAGCATAAAGACTGAGAACAGTGGGGAACAGCTGGCCTCTTTTCAGGAGTGACAAAATTTACCAGCACCTCTGAAGCTCACCAATTAACACACTGCGTGTCATTTGCTTAATCTGTATAAAAACCGAGGTGTTACAGTGACAATTACGAGAGGTTATATGCTGAACTGTTTCTTTGTCCGAAAAAGGAACTTCCTGGAGCGTGCGCTGGTTTTCTCGTAACGAAATAGTCACACACATAACCTCCCTGGAAAACAGGATGTTTTTCCACTTCAGTTATGGTATGGATTGAAGAAATAAGATATAACCAAGCTTCCAGGATCAACGCCTAGGTTTGAAGCCAATCTAACATAGTTGCCAAACATTGTGTTACAACTTGTCATGTAATGGCACTGGGCCCAAAACTACTTTTTCCCATTGACTTACATTGAATCAATTCAATCAATTTTATTTATAAAGCCCAATATCACAAATCACAATTTGCCTCACAGGGCTTTACAGCATACGACATCCCTCTGTCCTTATGACCCTCGCAGCGGATAAGGAAAAACTCCCCCCAAAAAAAACCTTTAACGGGGGAAAAAAACGGTAGAAACCTCAGGAAAAGCAACTGAGGAGGGATCCCTCTTCCCTCTGGTACAAACATTGTGAAAGATACTTCTGTAAATCAGTGGATACATTCTTTTGAGCATTGATGATGGTCTGATAACATTTCAAAAGTCTATGAACGTCGCCCGATGAATTCCTTTTGTCCCCGCTGTAAGTCTTAGTGTGCTTGCTCTATGAGCCCCACAGTGTTGAAGGTTAATACCATGGGTGCAGATCTGATGACAAGTTTGGGGGGACACAATCAGTTGTGATTTTTTTTTTTAATTGCACGCATGCAAATCATGCCCACAGAGCTCTTGAGATTGCCAGCATATTTCACGATTTCATAGAGGCTCATCACCATCACCAAGTCATTCAAAAAGCACTACAAAGAGAATCATATGCTTACCTTTACTGTTTATTTCTCTTAAACAGCCAGTAGTACATGGAACCAGCCATCACCCTCCTTTTCACTGCTTCGCTGTTAGTTAATGCTACTTGTAGTTTCAGGGTCTCAGGCATGTTATGTCCACTCACGTTCTCATCTCTCACCTCTCACGGATTCCCATTTCTCCTCATCATCTTCCCTTTCTCCCAGTTTATAGGACTACTGTATACATTTGTTCAATTTCAATCATTTAAGCTATTTAGAATTGGGGGGGGACAATTTGTGTTTTTCAGAATTTGGGGGGGGGGGTGTCCCCCCCCCCCCCCCCCCCCCCCGGGATCTGCACCCATACCATACCAGTGTATTACTAATACACTGGTATGGTAACGTCATACCACCAAATTTGAGCTTGTTTGGCTTCATGCACCAGTGAGCAACTTTCATAGCAATAAACAGGGACTTGCCTCTGAAGCTGTATCCAGTTCTCTTTATACATCCATGAATATAACATGCTGGTAGTTGGATTTTATGTCCTTTGGACAGAGCCAGGTTAACTGTTTCCTGTGTTTTAATGCTACGCTAAGTTAACACCCTGGTGGCCTTATATTTACAGTACAGACATGAGTATGGTATTAATCTTCTCATCTAAGCCTCAACAAGAAAGCAAAAAAGCTGAAACTTTCCCAAAATATCGAGCCGTTCCTTTAAACCTGATTCTTGCTCTTCAGTCCTCCTTGTATCATATTCCAAGCTGGCAGGCAAACTGTATATCAGAGCTCTCTCTTTCTGTAGAACATGCGTCACCAATGTGTAGACTAAACCGGCACATTTCAAGCTTTTCTTTTATTCCTCATTTATGTCAGTATTTTTTATGAATAGTGATTGCTTGTCTTATGTGATGATATGTTTATGTATTGGGGTTGCCTATGACTGCGTTTCGGGTTCGGGGGAGCAAACAGAAAGGGACGCACTCACACATAGAGATACACAAAATCAAGTGAAACACAGGTGGGAAAAATATTTTTTTGGTTCTTTTAATTTTTTTTTTTTTTTTTTTTTTTAAGTCAGTGTATTTTTATCCTTGGTGGTGGTGACAGGCAGAGGGCTCACAACATCAGCAGTCCCATGTAAAGAAAAAAAAAAGACCCTCCGTTCTGTCTTCTGTTTGTTGTTTTTGTTTTATTCCCCCTTTTTTCAAAAGTGGTAGTAAATGTACTATAGTCTGTTTTCAGTCCTTAATGTGCAACTAAACTATTTTTCCGTTGAGTCTGTGGTCAGTGTACAGTGGGCGTCGGCTGCGACATGACGATACAGATCTAGCCATCGAAGAGGTCCCACTTTGTACTGCATGCTTGTTGCACTAAAGTTCCACTTCTGCTGATAGAACGAGACAAATCTGATCTTTCTCCGTAGGTACAGTGAATAGACTCACAGTCACAGTTTTACAGAGGGATGAATTTTACATTACAGTATGCAATTTAATTCAATTGTATAAACTTTTAGCAGGATTTGTCCGTGTTTCTCGCTGCAGTGCTAATGCAGGATAGAAGAGATATGAGGGACTTCTACAATGGCTTCTGTACCAGTAAGAAGTCAGAGATCATCTGTACAGTTTAATGCCTTTGCCTGCCTCTTTCCCTTTCTGCTCGTCAGCCACAAGCATACACAAGCTTGTATACTACTCAGAATGATGCTGTATAATGGCTATGCATTTGGTGGTATAGCGTGAATATTTGGGACATTGTATTTGATACTCCTCTTTAACTGTCAGTAACGTCTCCCCCCCTGCCTGTGCTTTCTCTGTTCCAACAGTATAAAGACTTATTTTCCGTTTTACGAGCCCATGTTTAGTTTCTCTTTTAAAAAGCCAAGGAACTTTTTTTTAAACTGCACTGTGTCTTCTTCCCTTCTGATGCGTTTCCCATGTGCTGTACAAGAAATACTATGTGTGAAAAATAAACCAAACTTGTGTTCATCCTTTCAGGTGTCTGCTGTAACCATCTTTCTTTCCCTGAGATTTAAATGCAAAATGAAAAAGCCAAATAACCAAAGAGGGATTTTTTTTTTCTTTCCAGTTGTAAATCACAGCTTTTCACCTTAACATCCTCTGGTTACCCTGCGATAAAGAAACAAACTTTTTGCACAGTCTGAAAAGTGTAAAAGTTTTCAATAACCTGCAAAAACTGAACTTAGAAGAGCTCTCAGCGGTCTGACCTTCACCAGAATTAGACAGTAGTTTTTGACACTTTGAGAACGTCGTCCCATCACAGCAATAAAAAGCCAAATAGGTGATTCATTGTTTCTGTAAAACACTGACATTCAGAAAAATAGTTTAACACTGGGTTCCATCTGACCAACTGCATTTTGATTCCCAGAGCATGACCAGTGTTGGAGTTCTCTTCTCTTTAGCTCAGCGCAGAGATACTGGAGCTCATTTACGCTGATTTCCATATGTGAAGAATTTTTAAAAAGATGCTGGGCCTAAACTTGAATTTTATAAACTAGGCATGCCAAATATCTTCCAAGGCTGCGTTGTTTAATTGGCAGCTGAGATTCTCATTCATTACATGTTTTGAAACCTGCTCCATCAAAACTTTGGAATATCTATGCATGTAATAAGTATGTAATAAGTCCCAATTAAATGATCCCGCTGTCACAATGGTAAGATTACTTTAATCAGAGACTAAAATTACTTCTTCTGGCAGGTGGTTGCAGATCAGTCTCAATATTAATGAATGCAAACAGAGGTACAATGTAATGCATTTCATGATTTCTATACAAACGACTATTTCCCATAAAATATTTTTCACTGCACACAAAAGAAGGTAATCATTGCATATGAAAGCACAAAAAAAGTCCACATATGAAAAAAGAAAATGGTTGCAAACTTCTTGACATGTGTGGAATCCACTGCATTTGTATGTGGGTTTTTAAAACTACACTGCTGTGGAAACTGAATTAAAGCCAATCAGATGCTTCCTTACATTTTAACCAATCACGTAAGCGTACATTTACGGATGTGATTTAATGTGATCACAAAGGGTTACGTCTGCGCAGTCTAAAATTCTGACCTTTTTTATGGCATATGGTGCAATGACTTTTTTAAAAGAAAATTTTATGACATGCTATTCTATGACTTTGAAAAGACATATTTAATGACACTGTACTATGACTTTTTATGACTTTTCCAAAAACATACTGCATTATGACATTTTTATGACTTTATCAATTAACATACTATATGATGACATTTTTATCAATGACATACTATGCTATGACATTCTTGTGACTTTTTTAATAACATGAAATACTATGACTTTTTTTTAAATATGATACTATACTGTGACATTTTTATGACTTTGTAATTAACATACTTTACGATGACATTTTTAATGACTTTTCTTAATAACATACCACACTATGATATTTTTATGTCTTTTTCCAATAACTAACTATACGATGACATTTTTGATGACTTTTCTTAATAACATACTATACTATGATATTTTAATGTCTTTTTCCGATAACGTACTATACTGTCATTCTAATTACTTTTTCAATAACATACTATGATATTTTTCATCATTTTATGACGACATACTATACTATGACATTTTTCATGATTTTATGACGACATACCATACTATGACATTTTTCATGATTTTATGACAACATACTATACTATGACATTTTTCATGATTTTGGAACGACATACTATGCAATGACATTTTTCATGATTTTTTTGACGACAAACTATACTATAACATTTTTCATGATTTTATGATGACATACTATACTATGACATTTTACATGATTTTGGAACAACATACTATACTATGATATTTTTCATGATTTTATGACGACATATTGTACTATGACATTTTTCATGATTTTATGACGACATACTATACTATAACATTTTTCATGGTTTTATGACGACATACTATACTATGACATTTTACATGATTTTGGAACGACATACTATACTATAACATTTTTCATGATTTTATGACGACATACTATACTATGACATTTTTTCATGATTTTATGACGACATACTATACTATGACATTTTTTCATGATTTTATGACGACATGCTATACTATGACATTTTTCATGATTTAATGACGACATACTATACTATGACATTTTTCATGATTTTATGATGACATGCTATAGTGTGACATTTTTCATGATTTTGGAACGACAAACTATACTATGACATTTTTCATGATTTTATTGATGACATACTATACTATGACATTTTTCATGATTTTTTGACGACATACTATACTATGACATTTTTCATGATTTTTTGACGACATACTATACTATGACATTTTTCATGATTTTATGATGACATACTATACTATGACATTTTTCATGATTTTATGATGACATACTATACTATGACATTTTTCATGATTTTTTGACGACATGCTATACTATGACGTTTTTCATGATTTTGGAACGATATGCTATACTATGACATTTTTCATGATT